TCCTGCCTCTAGTTCGTTTGGTCCTGGGCTCAGTTATGGTGATCCCACACTGTCTGCAGTGGCGGGACGAAAACCATTGACAGGGAAAAGCAGGGGGCATTCTCGTCCACCTCCACCTCCCCCTGTGCCCATACAGGAAGACCCTGGAGGGGCTTCTCCTTTGCAGGATTCTGTAACGCCAAACGTAACACCATCAGCTCCTCCAGAGGAGCCAGCAGTATGTAGTGAGTCTGACAGAGACTCTGAGGGCGGTGAACCCGACACTAAAGAACTTACTGACAATTTGCGAGCATTGAATCTGGCTGATAAACAGACAGAACAAAAAGCTACGCCATGTATGCTCCCTCCAGCTGCTGTGACTGTCCTTCCCAGGTCCCCAGAGCTGTTTTGGGAGGGTGAGAGTGATAATGAGGGTGATGAAGAAGGAAAATTAAGTGCCGCTATGCAAACTTTGCACCGCTCTGATAAACCTACATCAAAAAGAGCGGGGGGAACCCATCCTAAACATAGACCACGGTTGAGGGCGAGGGGATTGGATAAGGACTCTGATGAGGAAGCACAAGATGAGTTGTTTCCTCCACACAGACCGAATGAGCAGAAAGCCCCTCAGGCAGTGCCCCCTCCACCTCCCATCGTGGAGCCCTCTGTTCCACCAGCTCCCTCTGATGAGGAAAAAGCCCTGTGTACTTTGTTTATCTGGTGCAAAAGGAATGCAGTCCCTGCTGATGCACGCTCTGCTTTTGATCTCGAAACATGGAAAGAGGCAGGGATCGCCTTATTCGAGGTGGCCATAAGGAAGAATGCCATCACTGTGTCATTTTTAACTGCATGGCAACTGGTACATCAACCCCTGAAACAGTTAAAAAGTGATGGGACTGCCGCGGCAGCTGCAGCCGATGCCAGGTCACCTAGTGGGTCTGATTCTCAGACGGATCCTACAGTTGTAGCTGAAACACCTCCAGAAAAGCCACCAGCCCCACACGTCCACTATCTGCTGATGAGAACGGCATTTTCCTGTTATTAAAGAACTACAGAAAAGCATTAATGAGGATGGACTTAAAAAATTAATTTACAACAAGTATACTGGAAGCGATCGCTCATGGCTGTACTCAGCATTCCAGCCCCCCCCCCCCGCAGGGTGGCTGCCTGCGGCCTCTAGCTCCGCGCTCT